GTTCTTGGAATCCATAAACGTCCGTTCCTTTTTTAATGCGTCAGAGATTCAAGTCCTCTCAAATTAGCTAATTAGAATTTTCAACTATCACCATGTCCCCGGCTACTGTTTGAGTTTTACGGTCAGAAGCCTTGAGTTTTTTTTATTATTCCTTTTGTTCGATGGGAAATTTTCTCATGGAATAAAAATGGTGTTTTTACTTCATTTCAGGGGATGGAATTTCAGCAAATGCTCATTAGACAATTGTGCACAAAATTAATAAATCAGTTGGAGCTAGTCCATTGTCAAGCTCGCTAAGCTAGAGTAAAAATTTAGAAATTCATAAACTTTTTGGTTCAGCAGTTAATGAAATTTGAAAACTTCGTGAGAATTGAGCAAGAACTCGACTGTCAAATACATAAATGATTTTGGAGAGTATATGAACGATATCTTTGGGATGATCTCCCTTTCCTATTGCGTGTTCAAGTATTTGCTTCAGAGAAACTTAAAAACAGTGACTTGTATTCTGTATAACTCCAGTAATTTTAATTTCTCTTTTTATCTCTCACTGCGGCGAAGCTTCGTTTTAGGGTTCAAGAATGATAAAAAAAGGAAATTAAATTATTCACCCTTAATGGACATTAAAGATCCTGAGCCTCCTTCTCTGCCCTCTTCACTCGTTTGCACAGTTCACCGTATCTTGAATCTTCTTTGACGAGGGAGAGGAACAAGATGCAGGAGATAAGCTAGGTTTTTTTTTTTTTTTTTTTTTTTTTTTGTGGACAGAATTTTATTTAAATGACACCACTCCGAAAATCGCCGTCGTGTGGCTCCGAAACACAAACCTCTCTCGCTGTTTCTCTAGCTTTTTTTCTCTGTAATTCTTAAACCCTTCCCGATTAAAAATATTAGGATGAGAGTCATTTTTCAGGAGCCATTTTATTAAGATAAGAATATTTTCAATGTATAACGCTGTTGAGCCCAACACGTTTCAATATCTTCCCGATTAAGCTCAACTATTGCCATATATCTGCAACCACGATGAAACTAGAAGAACCGTATATAAGGTTTGCGACGCTGCAGACCCTTTGCCACAATTAATTTTTTTGAAAAGTTACAAACTCAATATCATTTCCTGAACACTTTTCTGATGCTTTAACTCTATGTGAAGAATATTCTGTGAAACTTTCAAGCAATGATGTTCGTTTGTTCTCCTCTGAAAAAAAAAAAAAGAAAAAAAAAAGAAAAAACACCAGGAAGGGAGGTATTGAAACAACGCAAACGAGATATGCTTGATTGCAGTCTCAGCATCGATATATTTTTAGATCCATTACTGATCGAGAATCAATCACTTTAAGGCCATAAAATAGAAAAAAAAAATGGATCGTCCCCAGGGCCGGATATACCTACTTGCCACCCATGAGCCGTTTGTATTTTGCCGCCCCCTTCTCATTCGTTTTGAAACATCAATAAAAACGAACAGGGGGAGGTGTGCATGAGACGTGTTTACTCATGTTTGACACATTTTTTGCGAAAGCCCTGTCAACACTACCATCAAAAGTTCACGGAACTTAGCCCGATCTGTGTGGACAAGGCCTGCCATTTATAAGAAATAAACGAAAAAATTATGAAAGAATAAACATAAATGTGGTTTAATAATCTTAACTTCCGCCGCGTCGTGTCGCGCTGACCGCACCGTGTTCGACGCAATGCGAGAAGCATTCATGCAGTCTTGTAGGCGCTAGTCTGTGTTTCATGCCGACCGCCGCACAGTGTGTCAAAAACCCAATCTAGCTGCTCAAAACCCCCCTTATATCAAGTCAACAAATGGTGTTATTTTTGGTCAGAGTGGGTCCATAGGCACCCACTGGTTACGTATCTATCATGATTATCACAAAAATAAATTTTTTGGTCGCTAAAATGACAGGGATTGCAGCCGGTAAACGTCCAGCCTCAATCTCGCCATCAGGAGCGGTGCCANACAATTGCCCGTCGATAGCCGCAAAAATCATGAAAATCGGCCCGGTAGAACGCTGGAACTAAGCGTCACCAGTTTCGCAAAATTAGGAGGTCTTGGAGCTTATAGTATAGATTATAATTGCTCATTGAAAACAGTGCTCAAGACCGTTTACTTTTCCTGGCTTGAATAGAGCCGCAAAAGCGCGGAACTACACGGAACACCATGAAACTTATATGAGAGTGTTCAGAAAACTATCTAGATTTGAAATATCTTTAGTTTTACTGCGACCTTCCGCGACCTTGCGAGTGAGAACACATTTTCTTCGGCGATTCCTAGTGTAAAAGCGTGCATGTGGCGTTATGCAATCTCCCCTTACATTCTGTCACAGGTGAATTGAGACGGAGGCAGCATCTGACCACGCGCGCTCGGTCCCCTGATTTGAGTGAGCCTTATCATGAGGCTTTTCACGAAATCAGATAAGAATGTATGGTGGCTCAGTTGACCGCTTCTTTCGTTATTACCTTGCGTGATCGGGGTTCAAATCCCGAGCAGACTAATTTTTAAAATTTTATTTTCTTTCATTACGATTTTCCCATTGTCTATACTGTCATGGAGGGGGGAGGGGGGGTCCTCATAAATACAAAGTTGCATCGTATTTTTAACAAGTTTCTTGTATGATTCGAAACAGACTTTCTTATTTATTTCTAATGAGGGAAGGTTTCGGACATGGTTTATGAAACGTAGGAAAATGAACAGGAGGGGGGGGGGGCTCGCCGAAATTTACCTTTCCAGGCAAACGTTTTGAAAATATTATCTTTGACTTGTCACTTAGAGTTGCCGAAACGTATCATTTTAATAATATGGAATTCATATTTCTTTGGATGGCCAAATGAGAAATTCGCCATTTTGAAGTGGAATGCATAAGCCCAAGACATCCTCCAGGCCTTATTTTGGATCGGAAAACACAATTTGACTAATTTTTGGGGTTCATCAGGTCACATAAGGCGCCTAAAACTTAGTTGAAATTTTACGATTTTTACATGAGTTGAACATGATTTTTAGATGGCCGCCATTTTGAAAATTTTGATGACTAAGTTTTAAAATTTTAGGTGAACCTTCTTCAAGCTTACACTAATGCCTGTGCGAAATTTGGTGGTTATCCGACCAAATTTGGAGACGTGAAGAGGTTTTGAGCAGCTAGATTGGGGTTTTGACACACTGTGCGCTGGTGCTCCAATTCGATGCTGCTGAGAATCAGTAACTTGAGATATATTTTCTACAAGTTGTGAGCCCTACCTCACTGGGCTCTGAATTGGACTACATTTTGCAATTTGGTACTAAAAATTCTAGCCCGATTCAAAAACAACGTATGTGCCATTAGTTTCCCTATGCACACAACAATTTTTCCGGAAGAGCCGGAATTTATAGTTTTAAATTGCAAAATGCAGTCCAATTAACCGTAAGTTGATTTACACTTCTGACTGGACTCATTTTCTAACTCCGCAGCGAAAAACAAATTATAAATATGTTGAAATGCGCGCTCGACTTTTCCCTGAAGTGACCCTGAAATGATTTTGACGCATTCGTCGTTCTTAGATCAGAGACGACAAGAGCCGCAGCCCACAGGAAAATTGACGATGTCGCGACATATAACGGTGACACGCTGCAACACATACTCAGGCAACAACGGCATTAAGTTATGGTGTAAGAGAAACAAGCAAAACCCCCGCTTTAGTTAAAAAGTTAGCGTCAAATGCGGCAAACACTATACAAGTGTCAGTATAACTCCTGGATGCAACTATTCGGGCTCCGTGGATGTCCATGTTGCATACGCACGAAAGTGAAGGCGTTTTGACTGCCCAGGCACTCATTGCTTCACCAGGGCGCAAATGGCGGGATTTTTTTGCGTGGGTCCCAAATGGTGCAGCGCTTTCAATTCTTCGCTCATACTGCGAAGATATCTTCTTGGGACGAATAGTTGAAAACAGGAGCAGGGCATAAATTTCGTGCTTCAGTTTTGATATCGCGATGTGGTGAGCGTGAATTTTCGAGCAATCATTCATGCGAAAGAGATGTCTTTGAAGTATCAATGAAGAATTGAAGTCACTCTGTCTTTTTAGATCATCGTAATAAAGCACGCTACACAATGAAACGAGCTTTTCAGAGAGGCTTGAAATGTCCGACTGAAACTGCGACAGTTGATGTCAATTTCTTCACAAAACAAATTTTATGGGATGCTATTTGAAGGAAATTTTACGAGAATCATTGAAATCCTTCCTAAAACCTCCACGCTTCGTAGTATATGGGCATTAAATTTTTCCACTTATAGTATGACTCCTTTCATAGACTCCCTTCACCGAGTACCGCTTGTAAGGCGATTAGTGTTTGAAAACTCCAAACGCCTTCCATTCTGTGGGTATACAACCCGGACATCCGTGGAGTTCGAATAGTTGCATCCAAGCGTCATTACAAATTTAGTTCAGTGTCAGTCGCTGTGAAACCAGTTGAAGGCGCTTGCTAGTTACTCGTACACCTCAACTTAATCTCTGATATTGTGCCACATATTAATCGCATATTAAACGTTACTATGACAGTCTTCGTAGTATGAAAATACGACAAACTTATTATAGGCGCTTCTGCCCAGCTATTTCAAGTTGTTTTTCCTATGCTCTTACGAGAAGACCATAGAGTATAGACAGGGTGGGAACACTGCCTACTGAAAGGCTCGCCAAAACCGTGTTGTTGTAGTGCGCGATTTGATTCAAGTAGACTTTAGTTTTTTAATGTAAGCGGGAAATTTAAATTTTTCGTCACCAATTCCAAATAAAAACCTACTTAGTATCTCGTATTGGCGTAAATTTCAGTGATTTTCGACCGGCTAATCGTGTTCTTCGAGAAATTTGGTATAGGATAAATTTATCAGAATGCTTAAATTAATAGTCATTGGCTAAACTTGCCTCTTTTTTCTTCCTCTTTCTCTCTTTGATGTTTGAAAAATATATTTGCGAGATCTAAGTTTAGAATTTTCGTCTAATTCCTTTTTCCTCTTGTCTGTTTCCAGCTATCGCCTCGGTGGCAAGATCGGGGAACGAAATCGAAAGACTACGACGAGAATGAGAGCAACAACTTGGTCATGACGATGGCTTCGGGGCCGGGCGTCGGGACGCCCGCTAAAAACTACAGCCAGGGCGTCTCTGCCTCGCATACGGGAAAGTCCTCGGACCCCGGAAAATCCGTCGACCTCAAGTCCGTCTTCATCAGTGTCAAAACCACCTCAAGCTTTCACAAGTCTCGGCTCCCCGTCATACTGAAAACCTGGTTTCAGCTCGCCAAACAACAGGTACGTTTGCAATCGTTCAGTTTCATTACATATCGATGTCCGCAGTGCGAAACCACCTGCTGCAATTTTATTTTATCAGAAGATTCCGAAATAATTCCGCTTGCCGGAAACATGTTCTGATTTTTCCAAAAATTCCGGTGAAAAATTCTGAAATACGCCCGGATTTAGTTCCGAAGATCGTCACGTCACATTTGATCAAATAAATGGTCAAACTGGCGAAAAACCGCAAATTTTTAGGTAATTCCGAAATTAGCTGAAAATTCCGGGGATTCAGAAGATTCCGGGAAAAGTTCCGAATTTCGCAATTAATTCCGGGAAAATGGCAGCACTGCATTTTAGTGTCTCAAAATTTTGCGTTCCTATTTTATTTTTTCGGAGAAGAACAAGCCAGCTTCATAGTTTGCAATTTTTACAAGATATTCTGCTAAAGAAGAAGAAAAATCAAGGAAGTTTTCAAGAATTCTTGTTTACTAGTTTTGTGAAGAAACAGCGAAGTATGACGAGAAGTCTGCAACGTCACAAATGGAGTTACGTGGTTTTGCACTTTGGGCATCGATATACGACGTGTTATCTTTCCACACAAAAGAATTTGATTGCCCTTTCTCAGTGCACATTGAAACAAATACAGTTTCACAACTGACAAGTGAACCTTTCGGCATCTGACTAAGGTTAGGTTCCATCATTTTCATCGAAAATTTATTCTCTGGTTGAAATGTAACTGCTCCGCCGAAGACCCCTTGAATTTCAACCAAAAGCGAAGGTATATAAGACTGAAAATTTAAAAATGTTCCACGATGCAATGAAAAAACATGCCTTATTGTAATGCATGAGCCCAGAGTATACGTCACTCCGAAAACCTAGGTCACACGGTCGAACTGAGCTATCAATTTGGCGAGGTCTGGTTTCTGATCGGTTCTGCGAATACCAATCAAAGACTTCTATACCATCTCATTACTGCAGGAGAATTCGATAGCGCCCTGCTCTCCGATTGACGCGCGAAAATCCTCTGCTGGATGATCCCTCGCTGGTTTGATGGTTGACAACAAAAGTTGAACGAGGCATTTAAAAAAATTAAAATTTATGTTTTTCAACTCAGTTCAGTGAACAGAAGGAGTGTGCCAAATTTCATTAAATTCTGAAGGGGTCAGGTCAAAAAGTGCCAATTTCTGGTCTGATTCGACATGGAACGACCCGAGCTTCAGTTTGACCGTGTGACAGACTGAAGCCGCAGCCAGTTTTATGGCGATGACGTTTGTCTGTCTGGAGTGAACTTTATGCGGTGGCGGCGCACGGTGGATCGAGTCGATTAGAGAGGTCGGACATGGTGTTTTTGACTAAAACTGCAAATTTTGATGTTTATCTCGTCACATTTTAAATTGTAAGGGGTGCTTCCAGTAGGAAATTTCTCGAGGAAATCAATGGAACCATCTTTAGAACCTGAATGTTTTGTATAAACGGAGTTACAAGCTTTTAAAGTTTCTGAATTTTGTCCGACCTCTCCTATTGACTCGATCCATTGTGCGGCGATGGAGGCGGACGACGCTATACGCGACGCACGTGTGAGTTTTGGAGCGAAAAACGTATCCCGCGATCCCAGTAACAACAAGCCGATTCTACCTCCAAGGCGGGGGCCGAAGGGAAGAGGGGAGGGCCCAAATGATTGAGAACTCGAAAAAGAAATGAGATGAAGACGGGGATCCGCATGGTGGATGCATCGCCCTCCTTAAACACCCCCTCCCCCTCCCTCCCTTCGTGGGGCCGCCGCCACACACCAGCCCCCCTTCCCTCCGCCTAAGTGATGCAATTGTGGGAGCGGGAGCCAGGTTCCGCAGTGTTGCCCCTGGTCCCTTCAAATCAGATTTCTCTCCTGCGCTTGTTTGGTCTCATTAGGGAAGGAACAAAGAGTGGTCATTTTCCTTCGTCGCTTGCTTCCCTCCCTGTTTTTTCCAGGATGTCTACAGGTGGTTTGAATAAGCGGTTATGGGCCCGGGGTGCTGGTTTGTAGAGGCCCTAAATCCTAAATTTTAAGGGCTGATAATATTCCTGATCACGCGGAAAATTGTGGAAAGCCCCAGGATTTTTTCTTTGTAAATTCCGGCCTAGAAATGGTAAAAAAAAGGTTGACTTAACCCTTCTCATTACTACCATTTTGAAATTTTCTTCCACCGGTTGACCAGAAACCCTGACTAGCTTTTCGTGGATGCACTTTTTAGGCTCGCGCGAAATGGTGGAAAGCAGGGAACTTTATCGACTCTAGCTCCCCAATACAATCGAAATTCCAGAAATCTGTCTTTTGGACTCTAAGGACCCCTAAAGGATCTGAAATTTAAAAAAAAAAATCCTCGGGAGGAGGGGAGGGGGGTGCTTTGGCTAATCCGGTCTTGGTCGCCACATCTGGAAAATTGATTATTATCAGGGTGTCACTACAGACTTGGTTTCCTCCACTTTGCTTTCTAAGTTTCACGTTGAACAACTAGTGCAAAAGTGCGTTACTCCGACTTATAAAAGCAAGGTGGATGATACGAGGGGTGTCACTACCGCGGTGGATGACGTTGTAAACCGAATTTTTCAAAGCGCGATATCTCGGTTAATATTGAACGTAGAAAGTTGCTGCTCGGACGAATCTTGTTATTTTTAGCTAACAGTCGTATTTTGTTCGAAACAGCAAATTGTTTCTGTTTTTTTTCTTCTTGTTTCTTTTGCGTGATTCTGAACAACCAATGAAACGCTAATTCCAATTTTAGGTTAGAAAACAGCGTTGTCTTTGGGCAACAACATGAGAACGACTTGCCTCTGAGCACGTTCCAGTTGTTGTACAACAATGTTGCTGTAGAGGTTCCCAAATTTTGCGAGCGAAAATAAGCCCCACCCCCACAACACAAAACAACTTCGAACAAAATGCGATTGTTGCTTGTTTTCCCAACATGTTGCGAGTGTCGCCTCCGAACAAATACGACTGAGCTACAAGAATCAAGCATCAAAACACGATTCTGTGATCATCACAACGGACCCATCGGGAGACGGGAAAAATGTTGGTTTCGTTGGATTCGTAATCGGATATTTTAATTTTGCCCCCATGTCCGTAAAAATGTTGATGTAGTAATTTGCACTACTGTGCGGTGGCTAATATGCAACCCTGGCGAGTGGTCCATTGACGGCGCAGCATCTTCCCGCGCGGCGGCCGTCGTCGCCGCCTGCTCTTCCGCCACCGCCAAGCCGGCGAGTTTACTCCCTCGATCCCCACCCTCCCCTACTCGCTCCCTTTCAACCTGTTCGAGCACCAAGCCACTCCGCAAGGTATTTTTTTTACGCACCGATACGAGGGTTGCAAGGGCCCGAATATCCCCGCCAACAGGTGTGGCGCACGGATTTCCCCGTGAAATAGTTGTCAAATCACTCTCTGCCCAGTCACCTTTTTTAGTTATTTTCTTACCTCCATGTTGACTCTCTCAGGTATTTGATAAATAGAGAACCCGCCCTCCTGAGAACTGCTTATTCTTTAACCCGTCGAAATTTTCGAAAAAAGTTCTCCTCTCACGAAGAATGTGTTTGCAGTGTTAATAAATCCTCCTTTTCGAGGATTTGCTGACACCGACTTCTTAACCCATCCCAAAGGATCACAAACATATCCATGGCTAACTCGTAGACCACGTTCCTTCCTATCCGAATCCCATCTATCCTTTTTTCAAGTATAACTCTAACCAGGGTATCTACAAGTCCGGAAAGTCTGGAAATAATACTGATTTGTTAAGGGCGGTCCGGAAATACTGAAAAAGTGCGGAAATTCCGCAAGAGGGTCCGGAATTTTCCCATTTTTTTGTCATTTTTGTCTCAATTTGAGCGAAATTCAATTTTTTTTAAATTTCGTCAATAATTGGAAGTACTGAAAAAGTACTGAATTTTTCTGTTGAGGATGTACTGAATTTCTTTAGAATGTACTGAAAAATTACTGTAAAAGTACTGATTTTTGGTTAGCCTGTTTTAGTAGACACCCTGCTTACCGACTATTTTTTTCGTTTTTCTGCGATACTACATTACGTAATTTGAATCTCTTAGTTCAAAAACGACCCATCTCGGTAAAATAAAATTTTTCAGGAGATAAAAGGTACTGCATAATAGCCAGAAAATGAGCGTTTCTACGCAGAAAAATGAGCATCTTTAAAAATCCGAGTTGAATCGTTTTTGATCTGAGAGATTCGATTACTGTAAATTTTAATTCTTAAGACTTGGATAGCATTTCTCTGGAAAAAGAGGCTTGAATCCTGATCTCATCCCCTCGTAGTACGCACATATTTTCATACATTTTGCCTCGTAAGGGGTGGGGAACGAATTCTGACTCAGCTGCGCTGAGTGGAAAAAATATTCCTGCAGTGCGTGATGAATCGCAAAAATCAAGGCTTATCTTCGGCATTTCATTTCATTGATACAAAGAAGGAGCCTTATGTGACATTATTTTTGGAATACTCAGACGTTTTTGTCAAATGAATGGACACGTTGGAAGAAAGCAGAGATGGGGAGTATTGAAAATGGAAAATTTGAGAATTTGATGGATTGGCGCGTTATTTTTGAAGAAAAAGGTTGATAAATCTGCGATTCCATTACGAAGTGGCATTTTCTATAATCTGAGATTTCAGAGGAAGCTAAATTTGAAACTTTCAAATGTGTAAAAGATGCATTCTTTATCCCATCCCTTAAATATGCCGCAATTGGACTTCATTTTGCAATACGAACTACAATTTTCGGCTCACCCGTGAAAACACTTACGTACATAGGGAAACTAATGGTACCTACGATGTTTCTAAACTGAGCTAGAAATTATAGCTCCGAATAGGAAAATTTAGTCAAATTGTGCGAAATAAAACACAAGACATCTTGCATGTCGTAATGATTGTTTATTCAAAACACTGAGTTTTGTGTCATCTCAATTGTTCGTATTAAGTATGGCATATATTGTAAAATACGTCCTATACTGTAAGCAGCTGATTTAGCTCTGACGGTTT